TTTTTCACAAGTGCACTTGTGCTTGCAAACTTTGCTCATGAAGACCTTTTAGTGTGTCATATATTGTACTGTGTACTAAATAAAACTATATTTTAAGTCTCTAAAAACCCTTCCTTTATAATGCAGTTAATGTTGGAACTGTTGACACTTCCAAATTCTAGGGTTGCCAACTTTCTGAAATGGAAATAAGGAACGGGGGGGGGGGGGGGGGGGGGGGGGGATGTGGTGGTGACATGCCCCCTGAAATTCATACATTTTATATCATATTATAATGCAACTTAGGCCTATATATTTATAGCAAAGTAGGCTTATTCAATATACAAGACTTAACCACACAGATATATAAAGGCTATCATGATCATTTTGCCAAAAATGAACCATGTATTTGTTTAGATTATAATACGTTTTATTTTTAACTTAAACAAATACAACATATAACATTCGAAACTCATCGGCTTAGACTGCATTTGAAGAAAAATAAACACAACAGTTTTCTGTAGCCTTGTGCGAACTTATTCAATAGAATTAGACTTCTAGAATGTTCTTTCCGGTGCAAACATTTTTTTACAAATATTTTAGTAGTTTTTCTTATCATAGCCTACAAATGTCTTCGGAAACACATTTTACTCGATTTACTGAAGCCTGTAAAATGCATTTGCAGCTGCACAGCGTGCACATTGAGCGTCTGGCTCGCTCAGGCTGCGCTGCGGCAACTATACAATCCAATGGCGCGGGCGCCTCTGAACGAAGACCCGCTGCTATAATGGCAAATTCGGGGACTTGGCGCCACCTTGACGGGCTCTGACGTGTAATGACGTAGAGTTGGCTCATTGGTCACACGTCAGAGCCCGTCAAGGTGGCGCCAAGTCCCCGAATTTGCCATTATAGCAGCGGGTCTTCGTTCATTCATCATAGTCTGTCTAACATCTATATTAGAAGCTATGCGTCTGTCATGGATTTGCACTGAAGTGATTCTCAAAAATACGGAACAAAGTGCGTTCCGTATCAGTTCAATACGGAACAAGCCTTTTATGTGTCAAATACGGAACGATTCCGTATTATACGGAACGGTTGGCAACCCTACCAAATTCCCTGAAATGGATTTGTAAGGGTAGAGATGCTAATCAGGGTTTCACTAGTGTGGCAGTCTGAGAAACATCAAACGATGACGTATCTTCACATTTTTACAGTGTATTTACATGATTCACTTTCATTGTATAGAAAACAGCAGGCTCAACATTCTGCTAAACTTTTCCTTTTGTTTACACTAGAAGAAATTGAGTGCAAGATAATAGTATTTTCATCTTTTTTTTGGTAATGTATAATTTGTAGATATATTTTTAGTAAAGTGCTTAGAGGAAATATGATCAGGGCAACTACACAGTTCCTGGGTGAGCCTTACTTGAGACTAAACCTGCAACTACTGTAACCCATTTGTTTACGTATCAGACCCTGAGTCAAGACCAGAATGAGGTGGATTTGAAGTTTACGCAATCCCTATAACTACAGAAAGACCGGCATTATAACTCTCCATACCCACACACCCCTCTTTTTAGAAGCACAAACAAGTTTTCAGACGAGCAGTTAACTCTGTCTCCAGCCAGTGGGAACATTACAGGCATGTGTGAAATGTCTCCTCTGTGTAAGCAAGCAGGGTGGATTTGCAGACTTCTTTTCTGACCCCTTTGCTTGGACATGATCTTTTCCCCGTCAGGCTCGCCCAGCATGTGCAGGTGTGTTTATGCTCCCCTTGAGACTGTGAGATTAATGTGTTGTGCTAAAGTGCTGTTGGCATTATGTGCTATGTGTCGTTGCTAATCTAAACACTATATGGTTGCTGAGCATTACATCACCCTCAGTTTTGTGAGTATCTGTTGAAACTGTCCTGAATGGTTACTAGATCAAAAGAAATGTTTGTATAAGTTGGTGAATAACCCATAATAATACAAATCTGTACTTTCCAAAGCTAATATCACAAATTTGCGGGGATAAAAAAGTATTTTGGCATTTTTGAAGTTTAGAAGATAAACGAAAGAGGACCAGACAGGAGGCAGGGGGAATGGTATAGCTCAGTTTTTTAATAAGGCTGGTTGTGGTGTTCTGAAGAGGCAGACACCACTGTTCCACCTCCACAACACAGACCCCATCCTCCTCTCTATCTCTCCCTCCACTCATCCACCTCATCATCTGTTCATCACAGCTCTCTCTGAATCATGTCACATCACTCCTCCACACCCTATGGCCTCAACTCTCTTTCAGAGCTGCTAGAACATTCACTGGTGTGTGATGGACGATTCTCTTCAAGATTGATCAACACTGTACACAATGTTTGTCAAGGAACTTAAAAATGTGATTTATTTCATATCATGTATGTCAACTGATTTTATTTAAAACATTTTAAGGGTCAAAATAGCTAGAAAATCTTAAAGGAATAGACCCCAACCACCCCCCATATAAAAACCTTACAGTATGTCTTTTAAATCACTTAACTCACTCTTTCAGTACGTTGTTCCAACCTCATATGACTATCTTTCTTCAGAGGAACACAAAATGAGATTTGCAGAATGTTCTGGCTGCTCTTGTCCATACAATTAAAGTCAATGTGGACTGGGGTTGTCAAACTCCCCGGGAAAGGTGTGTCCTCCCCCCGTACAAGTTCCAACTGAGGAGGGAGGACGGGGGCTCAGGAGGGGGACGTGGAACAGGAGATAGAGAAAAACAGTCTGGGGCAAACAAGAAAATCCATTGGGGAGTGAAGGGAGGGAGGAGCCATGCAGGAGAAGCGAGATGGATACCCAAAGTCCAGCTAGAAAGAGGCCCCAGGGCAGAGTCGAGGGAGGGAGGAGCCATGGTGGAGACTTGGCTGACGACACCCTTGGGACGACTGATGGAGGTGGAGCCACTGGAGATGGAGCCCAGGTGAAGCACTCCACTCAGCTAGCACTGATGAGACCGAGGTGAAGCTGCGGCGATCAGCGTCCGAGAGGTGGAGCTGGTGGGACTGAGGACAAAGAGAAGGCTGAAGCCAGACAAAGCTGAAGGCATAGACAGGACGACGTCTGACCAAAGTGGAGCCGGAGGAACAAGGGAGCCCAGTGGAGCCGTCAGGACAATGGTTTCTGGTGGAGCTGAGGAAGGGAGGAGCCATTGCGGAGCTGATAGGTCCATAGGCCACAGTGGAGTGATGGGTTCGTAGGCTGGAAGTATAGCCAGGGGAACCTTCTTACAGGGCGGAGCTGGAGAAATGAAAGCGTAGCGTAAGTTCCGCCAGGAAGACTCAATTGTTACGTCATGTATTACCTTCTCATGTATCCAATCGCGTTCTAATACGTGAAGTATAAAAGATCCTTACTTACACTCGTCTGAGTTCGCAGATGCTGACGCTTTCACTTTCCACCATCCTCCCCACCTCCACCAAGACGGTCTTCGTTCCATCCTTTCCACCACCACCAGGTCGGTCCCTTCCAAAACCCCAAGGGGGGGTCGGCTGCGCCCCTGCCTTCATCTTCAGGCAGGATATGCAGAATCCGTACCCTCGGATCGGGAGTTATGGACGGGGCCTACGCCAAAGAACTTTATTGCATATATGGCTTGCTGGGCTGTTAATAAAATGCATTATTGTACAGTATCTTATCTCCCGAGTCTTTCTGGTAGAACTGAAGCTCCGAGGCAGTTCCTCACAAAAAGGTGTTGGAGATACAGAGGGGCTGAAGGGAACTGGCTGATTTGGGAATGGGAGGTCGAAGAGGGAGGCTGGGAGGGGTCACAGGGAGGACAGGCGACATGGGGCTGGGAAGAACCAGCAGAGATACAGGAGACTCAGGGCTAGGTGGAACCAGTGGGGAAACAGGAGATTCAGAGTTGGGCGGGACCAGCGGGGGTGGGAGAAACAGGGAAATGTATTCCTCAAACACCTCCAGTTCTCTTCCAGAGTCCATACTGTACATATCTACAGTATATATATATATATATATATATATATGTCTTAGAATTCATTATTGTTAATGTCTTAAAATCCAAGAATAATTTATAAACAAATGATAAATAATGCAGTTTAAAATTGCTAGCTCAGTGTTGAATAACTATATGGACAAAAGTATTGGGACACCTCACCATTAAACCAACAGGGGCTATTGACATTGCATTCTAAATACAGACATTCATTTGTAGTCGGTTCCCCCTTTGCAGCTATAACCGCTTCCACTCTTCTGGGAAGGCTTTCCACAAGATTTCTGAGTGTTTCTGTGGGAATTTCTCTCTTTTTATCCAGTAGAGCATTTGTGAGGTTAGGCACTGGTGTTGGATGAGAAGGCCTGGCTCACAATCTCCCTTCCAGTTCATCCCAAAGATCTTCGATGAAGTTGAGGTCAGGGCTCTGTGTAGGCCAGTAAAGTGCTTCTACACTAAACTCATCCAACCATGTCTTTATGGACCTTGTTTTGTGCACTTGGGCACAGTCATGCTGTAATAGAAAGAGGCCTTCCACAAACTGTTGGAAGCATAGCATTCCCCAAAATGTCTTAGAATGCTGAAACATTACGATTTTGCTTCACTGGAAGTAAGGGGCATAGCCCAACCACTGAAAAACAGCCCTATACCATTATCCCTCCTCCACCAAACTTTACAGTTGGCACAATGCAGTCAGGCAGGTAACATTCCCCTGGCATCTGCCAAACTCACACTTGTCCATCAGACTGCGAAACTGAGAAGTGTGATTCATTACTCCACCGAACCTTTCCACTACTCCATAGTCCAGTACTTTACACTACTCCAGGGTTTCTCAAAGTCTACATTCAAAGGTCCAAATCTGAATTTTCATCAATGTCAAAGGTCCGGAACTATTGGTTATTACAAAACTTATTTTTAATAAACATGCATAAAAAAATCAACAATCATTTTATTTAAAAAATAAGGTGTTTTTGAAAAAATTCAAAAAAAATTCTTAACAAAACACAACAAGAGGTAGGCCCAAAGTAACATGGTGCAAAATACAGAACAGTCTAATGTGAGAAATGGCACTGTCTGTCTCCCATCAGCTGCCGAAAACGTGGCACAAAAGGTGTGGTTGCCAGACGGAGACACTGACCTAAATGTTCATTAGTTAAGCTGCTGCGGTATGAGTTCTTTACAGCATTCATTGCTGAGAATGCAGACTCACACCGATAGGTCGACCCAAACATGGTAAGAACACAGATGGCTACTTTCTGCAGATTGGGGAAATTTTCAGCTGTGACCATTTTAGTCCAAAAGGTAAGAGTGTCACAGTCCACTTCCTGCAAAGCCACATTTTCCTGTAAGTCAATGAGTTCAGTCTGCAGAGATGCCATGCTTGCCCATGGGAAGATGCTCTTGGTTTCTTTTGAAAACTCCTCAACATTCTTGACCAGGAATGGAGATGGAATGCAGAGCAGCACTTGTCTGCCTATATTGAACCCCTCAAAGCGCATCCTGAAATTTTCAGCTAGCTTCTCCAAAAAGGAAAGATGGTGACGATGGTGATTGCCATTAGTCTGCTGGAGAAGAGTTGGAAAGTGGATATGTGGCCCTGTGATGTCACTCTTAAAGATCTCCAGCCGCCTTTCAAAGGAGCGTACTGCTGCCATCAGATCACACACTGTGTTGCCTTGGCCCTGGAGCTTCAGATTCAGTTCATTTAGATGAGATGTTATGTCCACTAAAAAGGCCACAAGCTCCATGCTGTCATCATCCCTCAGAAAATCCAAGTAATGCCTGGCTTTGACATTCTTCTGCTGGGACAAAAACATCTCCAAATCTTTTCTGATGGCCCAAAACCTTTCCAAGACTCTTCCCTTACTCAGCCACCTAACATTGTTATGGAGGAGTAAGTCGTCATAAGCAGCATTACCTGATAAGAGAAAGAAAAAAGATAAAAATAAATAAATACATGATCTTTGTAAATTCTGTAAATTTAAATGGTTTAAGTCTGTTGTAAGTAGATTTTGATGACAACCTTTAATACTTCCAAATGCATATAATTACATTTTCTCCTACATTTTATTCACAATTAAAAATTATTATATAAATAAAAAAACATTTGTGAAATAAGGGTTGACTTAACATTAGTCAGTGGGGAGATATTCAGCATTTCCTGCATTAATTATGCCTTAGTTTCCCATTGATTAAAATTGTTAAAGATTTAAATGCTTTGGCTCTGCAGCAGTGTGTGTGTGTGTGTGTGTGTGTGTGTGTGTGTGTGTGTGTGTGTGTGTGTGTGTGTGTGTGTGTGTGTGTGTGTGTGTGTGTGTGTGTGTGTGTGTGTGTGTGTGTGTGTGTGTGTGTGTGTGTGTGTGTGTGTGTGTGTGCATGTGTATGTGTATGTGTATGTGTGTGTGTGTGTGATCATCACTTAATAATCCCCTATTGACCCACACACACAAAAACACAGTAGAAAAAGTCAAATTAATTCTTACCTCAGTCAGGAATGCCCGCAGAAGACGGTGCTGAAGGGCAGAGGATGCTCTCAGGTAGTTCACAAGCTTCATAATAGTTTCCATGACGTCTGAATATTCTTTTCCAAGGCTAGCACACAGCACGGACTGGTGTATAATACAGTGGTATGTCAGCAGGTCGGAGTGCTCCTCTTTCAGACGTTGAACAGCTCCCTTCTCCTTCCCTATCATGGCTGGAGCACCATCAGTAGTGATGGACACAATATTCTTGACATCAATTCCCCGTTCATTAAGCATCTGCATGATAGCTTCATAGATGTCCTCTCCTCTAGTGTGACAGAGTGGAGTAAGGCCCAGTAAGTCTTCACAGAATGTCCCCTTTGCCTTGCTGAAGTATCTGACAAACACACATAGCTGGGCTTGGTCTGTGCCATCTGTTGACTCATCCACCGCAAGTGAAACGCAGGGTGCATCTTTGATATCATCAGTTAACTGCTTAACTAAGTCATGGGCAAGTACCTCTGTCCTCCTGGTTGAAGTGTCATTGGACAGTGGGATTTTCTTTAATTTCTCTGACATCTCCTGTCTCTCCTTTCCCTCAAACAAAGCATCTGCTATCTCCACTAAACACTCCTTAACTATCTCTGCATCAGAGAACGGCTTCTTGTTTTTGCCTAGTACCCAGGCCACTCGGAAAGATGCTTCTGTAGCTCTCTCTTGCTGTGTCACAGCTCTCACAAGCAACTTATTTGTTGATTCATATGAAGACTTTAGCTGTCGTAGTTTTGCTGTCCGTACCTCTGTATTTTGTGGATATTGCTGTTCAAAATGTCTGTGTTTTGTTTCATAATGTCGTTTGACATTTCCACTCTTCACAACTCCAACTGTCTCATTACAAATTAAACAGAATGGCTTCGTGCTGGATTGGGGCAAAATGAACGCATACCTCTCGGTCCAATCATCTTTAAAAACTCTATTTTCTCCGTCAACTTTTCTTTTCTTGGACGATGCCATCCTCAAATCCATTCAAACGCTTACTGCGGTGAACTTGAAGTGTCGCGTCGCGCCCGATTACGTCAAAAATCATACGCTCACTGGATGTCATGGCAACTAAATCACGGACGAAAACGTTAAATATCTCGCCTTCGCTTTAATTTCGGACCATCTCAAAAAAGACATAACAAAACGAAACAAATGATTTTAACATGCGTTTATCAAAGTAGGAAATCCACACTTTTAATCCATTACACACAATTAGTGCTCTTGATACGAAATGGAGGCCGGTCCAGATTGAATTCCCTCCGGGTCCGGATCCGGACCGGAGTCCGGACTTTGAGAAGTACTGCACTACTCCATCCGATGCTTAGCATTGTACTTGGTGATGTGAGGCTTGCATGCAGCTGCTCGACCATAGAAACCATTCCATGAAGATCCCACCACACAGTTTTTGTGTTGATATTAATCCCAATGGAAGTTTGAAACTCTACAGCTTTGGAATCAACAAAGCATTGGCAACTTTTATGTGCCATGCGCCTCAACACTCTGTGATGCTGCTCTGTGACTTTACGTGGTCTTCCACATCGTGGCACATCGAGTTGCTGCTGTTCTTCCAACAAAACCACTTCCAGTTGACCGTGGAATATCTAGGAGGGATGAATTTTTTTACGAACAGATTTAAAAAGTGCACTTTTAATTATTTATTTTTTTGACAAGATTATTAATTTGTTTAAAATTGGTAAAAATGATAACAGCAGGTTAAATTCAGATTTTGACGCAGGTGTTGTTGACATGTGTTGTTGTTGTTGTTTTTTTTGCTCTGCGATTTCTTGGACGGCCATCGTTTTTCTTTTTTTGTCTGTTTTCTATCTAACCTCATTTATCTTCCCTGCCCTCACATTCTGGAATGTCCATGTTCATTTGCAGAGCTGATTTTTCACAGCATGTTCTGACCCTGGCTGTTCATGTGAGGACAGGATTAACGGAGATAGTTTTTCTTATCTGTTTTCATTGATTAGGAGTTGCTGAATTAGGCCACGCTCACACAGTTCTGTGAATTTTTAAATTTACACATTGATAGAGATGTAGGTCATGTAAAGAAAACATCAAATCAGTTTGACCCTTTTGACTGTCTTAAATGTGTTCCTGGTCTTATTATGCACAATTCATTGGAGCATGTTATTTCATCTTCATAATTTTTCATCAAAATGTAATGACTTCCCTGGTGAAACAGAAGTACACTTTAGCTTAAAAAAGAAAACCTATTACAGAAATTATATCTTAATATAGAGAACACGCTTAAAGGGTTTGTTCACCCAAAAATGAAAATTCTGTCATTAATTACTCACCCTCATGTCTTTCAAAACCCAAAAGACTTTCGTTCATCTTTGGAACATAAATGAAGATCTTTTTGATGAAATCTGAGAGATTTCTATACTCTCCGTTGTCAGCTACTCAACTGACACTTTGACACTAGCCTGGATGCCAGCCCGAACCCCGCCCACAACATGTTTTGTTCGGGAAGTTCGGTCTGGACTCGCTCCATTGAGGAGTAATTATGACCGGTTCAGAAAACGTCGGGCCAATCAAATTGCCAGGGCGGGCTTTATACGATGATTGACAGATGATCTGCAGTTACGTAATCATCACGTCATTAAAGAGCGCTTGGGTTGAATTCGTTTACAGCAAAGATAACTGCCGCTGGAGAATTGAGATTTCACGAGTTCACACTTACAAGTAAGTCAGATAGAATAAATGCCTATATTATATTACTTGTAAGTGCGAACTCGTGAAATATGACGTGCTGTCTGAGGAGAGGGCTCCGTGATCGGCATTCGGCCCGAACCCAGAGTAACGTTACTCCCCCGTATTCTAAATAACAGAAAGTGGCGGGGTGGTGGACGAGAGATGCTGAAAAACTGTCAAGGAGTGTTAGGTGAGTTGACTGAGTGATTATGCTTCCTCTCAGGCGGATAGGGTAACGTTAGACATGGTATTGTTTGATGACAAGTTGATTAGAATGATTATTTGAACGTGCTCCTCCCGAACTTTGTTTATGAAACATCATGTGTAGTGTAGATTATGCCATCGCGTCTGTTATAGAAGATATCGACAGCGCATTGCTTTTAAAAGAGGAACAGAGAACCGCGATAAAGGCATTTGTCGGTCAGAAATATGAATGAAGAACATGCGTCATTTACTCCGTTGCTCTGATTGGTTGTAGGTCTATCCAATTGAATGGAGAGGTATTTTCCTTCCTGGTTCGGTTGAAACACGCCCCATAATCACAGCCCAATGGATCAATTTCAGACTCTTCTAGAATATGAGTATGACGAAGTCAGGCTACTTTGACACTTTAAAAAGTTCATAAAGAGATGTAAAACTAATCCATATGAATTGAGCAGTTTAGTCCACATTTTCTGAAGAGACTTTATTTAAATAGGCTAGTCATCAAAAATATGGTAACACTTTAGTATGGGGAACACATATTTACTATTAACTATGACTTTTGCCTCAATAAACTCCTAATTTACTGCTTGCTTATTAATCGTTTTTGTAGCATTTCAGTTTACGTATTGGATTAAGGCAGGGGTGGGGAACGTCCGGCCCCCGGGCCGTAACCGGCCAGCAAAACAGTTTGATGCGGCCCGCGAGTCAAATCCTCCCAATAAAAAAAAAAAAAGAACTTCAGAACCAAAAATCTCAGCAATTACTTTTCCTGTGACAGAAAACACAAAATAGGCAAAGTGGCAAGCAGGGCGAGGCCAGTAGCGCGAGTGTTAATGAGTCACCTGCGCACCGGTTTCAAGTTTCTCACGGATGAGCTTCGGGGGCGCGCGCGCCGCACCGGTTTAAAGTTTCTCACTGTTCAGCTTCGGGGCGCGTAAAAGGATCGGAACGAAGACAGCGGAGGACCAGGCATGGACTTTACATTATGTGTGTGTGGTCGTCGTCCACGAGGAGCTACTGCTTTTACTTTCGTTTTGTCATTTGCGTATTAATGTATTAAAGTGGTTTAAACGTTTAATATAATAGATAATATACAATATTATAAAATAACATTATAAAATAACATAAGAGAGTCGACGTTTCCGCGTGGTCGCTTCCGACTGTGTCCGGGTCACAGTCAGAATGAACGCAACAGACACGTAACGTTAGCGGTTGTCATCGCTGAAATGCATCATGGCGACTGTCAAAAAAAGAAAGGTAGATTCGCCGACAGCAAGTTGAATGAGTGGCCGATTAAAAGAGGAATGAGTCTGTGCTGATTTAGATGGAAAGAGTTGAGCCCAAGGTGTGGAAAGAGTATTATATTATGTGACTGTTTTTGTGCTTTTATCCACCTCTAAATAGCTATAAATTAAGCTTATGTCGTTTTAGTTTCATATTGTTAATTATTAGTTTCATAGGTTGTTAAACCTAAGACGAACTCTTTCATATTGCGCTGCATTACTGTCAGTGTTGTTGACGGTTATTACTGACGGTACGGTTATTACTGACTATTAGCCTACTGACGGTAAGGTTGCGCTGTTGACGCTCGCGCAGCCTCTCGAGGAGAAATCTACACAAATGAGCGCACACACACACTCAGTTAACTATAAAAAATCTAAATGTGGAGCTTTTATATTTTTAACATATGTTAAGCAACCTCAATTATTTTTCCTGAACAGCATCACGATTGAAAATGTGACATTAATTTCCATCAACAGTTCAATAAACAGTTACAATTAAGTCGTTTACATTTTAGATGCAATATTGCCTGTTTTTGTTCTGTTTCAGCAGCGAAAATAGTTCCAAACAAAAATCACAGCAGAACCACAGCGCATCTCACAGGAACACTCAACCTGTTTTCATTACTGAATGATTCAGCATTTTGAACGAATCGATTGAGTCAAAGATTCAATGACCCATTCATAAACATCTGTCTCAATCTTGAATGAATCAGCCGTTTGAACAAATCGTTTGAATCATGAATGAATCAATGACTCACTCATTAAGACGGTTGCCTGCCGCCACCTACTGGCGGTTTGTGTTATGTTTAAAAGTAGATCATTCTTTCCAACGTTTCTTATTTTTAAATTTAAATCAATTTCATAACATTATTTTATGGAATTGTAATTTTTCAGTGTAAATGATTTAATTTGATCAGCCCTATAGTGTCTTATTATTCGAAATAATTTAATTTATTGATCAAATTTAGGAATTTAAAATGAAAGATGAAGCATATATTTAATAATATTGGGGGAGGGGATGCCCTTTAAAGGTGCAAATATTACAATATGCCGATTTAAATATCAAAGCTAATTGAACACTGATGAGAATATTGTTTCAGAATAAATAAAAAATAAAATAAAAATAAAAATCCGGACGAGAAACTTTTTTACTCGGACAAGTGAATGACAGATTTACTTGTCCGAAGGACTAGCGTATGAAAGGCTTAATGTCGAGCCCTGCCTATAGCAATGTCATCAGGATACACATACACCGGTAGGCAGTGGCCCACCTTACCGGGTGACCATGTCGTGGTCCACCAGAATTTATAGTTTACCCACCTCTTTTTTTACCACTACACCTCTGAATAAAACGTAGGAGTCCCAGTCACGCCGACCCTCTCTTCTTCCTTCCAAACACTGAACCTCATTACAATGGCCCTTATAGAATGTTAAAAAATTGTAAATGGCCCTTGATAGGAAAAAGGTTCCCCACCCCTGGATTAAGGGATGTAGAATATGGTCATAAATTAAAGTGTTATCAAAAATATCTTCATATGTGTAAATGACAGAATTCTCATTTTTGGGTGAATTAACCTTTTAAGTACAGACTGCCTGAGCAAGTCCTTTTATGAGGGTCTTGAATGCATGTAGGCCTAATGTTTTCCAATGACCAATTGCCTGTTACTTGCAATTAATTAAAAGACAATTACATGTTAAGTGCAATTAAATGAAAATGTATTATAATTAAATTTATATCAAATGCAACTGACTGAATTTTAAAGTGCTGTTTTAAAGTACATTTAA